AACAGAGTGAGGAACGAGGAGCAAGCGCACAACATGGTCAGACCTTGTGCACCGGCAGGTGGTTCCGTTGCTGGAGCAGCCACTGCTTCGTCAGACTGGACATAGGAGGCAGACAGCCTGTAAAGAGGGAGGGAGGGAGGGAGGGAGGGAGGGAGGGGAGGGGAGGGAGGGAGGGAGAGATAGTCAGTGAACATGGTCCGCTCAGCATCGTCATGGCTCTCTGATAGAAGCAAGACCCTCTGAAGTCCTCAATGTCCTGTCCACGCTCCCTCCTCCCCCCTCCTCAAGGATCTTCATTTGAATTGATCCAGGTCCTCTATCAGCTGACGCTCCTGCCCCTCCCTGGTTCCCTCTCTGCGCTCCCTTCCCTTCCACATCTTCTCCGTTAGCATCTCGTGCTCGTCCTCAGCCCTGCCCATCTCGCCCCTCTCCTCCTACCTCCGCCGTCCCCTCCCTCCCCGCTCCTCCCTCCCTCCCTCCTTCCTCTCCCACGGGCCCATTTTCTTCTGTTCTATCTGCCCCTCGTCCAGGCTATATATGCTGTTGAGGCGGACCTGGGTATGTTCCCCGAGCAAGTGGAATGCAAGAGCCAGTGGCTGGAAGGGAGGCCCTAGGAGGCAGAGAGGAGAGGAGGGGAGAGGAGGGGAGAGGAGGGGAGAGGAGAACGAGAAGGAGGAGAGGAGAACAGGGCAGGATGAGATAGAAGGGGAGGTGATGGGAGGAGGGGAGGTGATGGGAGGGGAGGGGAGAGGAGAGAGGTAATGGAGGGTTAGGAAGCAGGGCTCAGGAAGGAACAGGACGGGTTAGGATAGAGGAGTGAGCTCAGGAGGGAAGTAGGGGCAGATGAGGAAGATGTGGGAGAAAAATATCGGTGGATGCGATGATGGCGGTGGTGGCGGGATTGAGAGAGCAAGAGAGCGAGAGAGGAGACGAAGGGTTGTCGGATGAAGAGGGAGAGAGCAAAGCTGTTGTAGCAGATTTTGCCAACCAACATAGAGACACGTGAATGGAAGAAGGACCTGAGTAGAGGATGGAGAAGATGGAGATGGTGATGAGGTTGTTTTGCATGCCGCGCAAGATCTGAACGTTCGCGATGAAGCAATTGATGTGTTCCCCCCGCACAGGTGCATGCAGACAGATCGGGAATGAGCCTCGAGCTCCAGTCTCTCCCCGGCGCACGGCAGGTGCAGAGGATCCTGATAGGACGGAACGAGAAGAGGAGGGTCGGCTACATCAACCTGCTGCTCCAGTCGCCATCCCCGGATGTCGACGAGCTGCGGTACATGGGCGTTCATGGAGGGTTTCACGACAATGGCACGAGGAGAAAAGTGCGTGCTGCATGCATGTCCTCGCTCGGGTTCACATCCTAGCAGGTCTGGCCGATGCTTGTTGGTCTATCGCACGAAGATGGAGGAGGAGGAGGAGGCGGAGGAGGAGGCGGAGGCGGAGGAGGAGGAGGAGGAGGAGGAGGAGACGAAAAGCCAGGTGTGGAGTTGGAAGGCGATGGAGAAGCGGGAGCAGAGGGAAAGGGATCCGCACACGGGAGCGTGAGCGAACAGGATGAAGCATGCTCGAGCAACGTCTGCCCGGACCCTCTCCCTTCCGAGGAGAAGCACAGATACTACGAGCAGATCGAACTTGATGTCACTAGATCAGCAACACACCTCGGTACTTGGCATCCAAGGAAGCTGGGAGAGAGGGGAGGCAGGGGAGGCAGGGGAGGCAGGGGAGGCAGGGGATGCAGGGAGGCAGGGGAGGCAGGGGAGGCAGGGGAGGCAGGGGAGGCAGGGGAGGCAGGGGAGGCAGGGGAGGCAGGGGAGGCAGGGGAGGGAGAAAGGGAGGGAGGAAGAAAAGTGAGGGGAGGGATGCGAGGAGAGGGAGGGAGGGAGGGAGGGAGGGAAGCGTTTTCATGGTGAACCAAGGAGCCCAGGGCTATCCCGAGATGAGATCTCTACCTTGAGGAGGAGGTTGTCGAGCACCCTGCATGCTCTATTCAGGTCTTGTCTCTGCCTGCCTTCCTGCCTGCCTTGTGAGAGTTTGTTCGAACGCAGGGAAAACACACAGTTCCATTACTATCAGGTGCGTCAGGATCCGACGGTTGATGAGTTTACATGCACCGCAGGGCTTCCATGACCTAGCCTCTATCATCTTGCATGCGTTTGACGACGTGGAGATGGTGCGTGGAATTCTTGACGACCTCGGCGACATCTCTGATCCAGTTGCTGCCTGCTGCAGTCGAAGCAAGTGATCTTCAGAGTCATGAAGCTGTTCTTGAAGGTGAGCGGCTCGAATAGTCCTCCCCCTGCCCTCATCTCCTCCCTGCACCCACCTTACCTCGTCCCCATCCTGCCTTGTCATCCCCTCCCTCACACTCTCCTTCCCTCGTGCCCGTCTCATCGGGTGTGACAGGAGGCCATGGGCGAGGACTTGAGCATAGCCAACGACGCGCTCTCGCTGCTCGTCCACCTCATCGAACGGTTGCTGCTCGTTGGATCTCCCCGTGCAGAGCTGATGTCCTCCTTGTCAGAGATGACCGCGTCCTCGCGCAGACTCTGTGCAAGGACGGAGTTGGCCCGCAGTTTGCGTTGAGGTCAGGCTGAGAGAAGGAGCTCCTCGTCGTCTCCTGCGTCCTCTGCACTCCCTCCGTTCCCTTGCGTTCCCTGCTCTCTTGCTCCTGCCTCGTCCCCGTCCCAGCCTTCCCTCCCTCCCGTCCTCTCGCTGCCCGTCCTCCATATCTCCCTGTCTCACCCTCCTCCTCAGTTGGCTTCTCACTTGGTTCTCCCACGACGTCCGCAACGCCCACCAGGTCGAGAGTCCTTGCAACGACCTGTCAAAATTCCCTACCTGTCAAAATTCCGCTAACAGAGCAGAGCGACAGGCTTTCAGGCTCTTCGACTCCTTCCTCTCCTCGCACCCCCTCCTGCCTCTCTACACCGCTGCCGCCATCATCAAGTTCCGAAGTAAGAAAGAAGGCCCCGACCCACCATACCATGCTCTCGCTCCTTCCCATCCCTCAGCCCCTGCTGCCAGGTGACGTCATCCTGGACCCGGCCCATGATTACGCCGAGGTCCACATGCTAATGCAGGTTCCTCCACCCCTCCCTCGCTTCCTCCCCTCCCTCCCTCTCTCCTCGTCGCTCCTCCTCGATAATTTTGACGTGCCGTTGAAGAAACTTCCGGACGATCTCCCACTGGACGTCATCATTGCGCAAGCGTCCAGGTTGACCTACGTCTGCTGCTGCTCGCTGTGCTACGACACTCTCTGAGCTTGTGCCCTTGCTGCTGCTGCTGCTGCTGCTGCTGCTGCTGCTGCTGCTGCTCTTGCTGCTGCTCCCCCCTCCCCCGCCTCTCTTCCTGCTCTTGCTGCTGCTCCTGTTCTTGATCAGGATGCTCTTTGATCTCTTGGGCCCTCCTCGTTCCTCTCCTCCCTCTTCTCCTCATCTCATCGCAGGTCGTTCACCAAGTATCCTCCATCACGAGCTGTCGCTGCGCTCGCCCTCCAGCAAGAGGCGAGCAGCCTGCGGGTCAGCAGCAGCTGATGATCAGCTTGCAGATGCGCTTGTCCCGATCTCGCTCATGGCTGTCCCTCCCGCTGGTGCTGAGGTAGCAGCGGGCGCGACCTGAAGCTCCTCCCCTCACGCCTTGCCAGCAGGAAGGGGACGAGGAGGAAGCGAGAGCCGGAGGAGGAGAGGCGGGGGATCTCGGCCATGTCGCAGGAGATGTTTGTCGTCCCCTCCAGGAGGTCGGTCGCTGTGAGTCTCCCGCTGGACTTGACGCGCACGAGCAGAAGCACAGCTGGCGACGCTGAGTCGATGTGGGAGACCAAGAAGCGAATAGTGAGTAGCTGTAACAGAATCTTCTTCTTCATCCGTATCCCCTCCCCTCCTCTCTCTCTCTGCCTTCCTCCTCCTCTCCTCTCCGCCCTCCTCTCTCTCTCTGCCTTCCTCCTCCTCTCCTTCCCCCCCCCCTCATTCTCCTCTCTCCCTCTTCTCTCTTCTCCCGCCCTTCCTCCTCTCCTCTAGCTGCTTTTTTACTTGTCCTCTCCCTGCCCCATCCTTCCTCCTCTTCTCTTTCCTCTCCTCATGCCTCTGCTGACTCGCGTCTTTGCTGGCAGACGAGCATGTCGGCCGCTATCAGCGTCTTCATGTTCCTTGTGGTTTCTCGCATCAACGAATACTTTTACGGATAAGAGGAGGCGAAGGACCGAAGAAACTCTCCTGCTCTCCTGCTCTCCTGCTCTCCTGCTAACTTTATTTACATCCAGCCCTCTCATCTTTTGTTATTTACACAAATCCTGAATCCTCAACAACTTCCACCTTCTTCCCGCTTTCTCCTTCCTGTGTCCTCGTCCTCTTTCCCGTGTCCTCCTTGTCTTCGTCGATTCCTTCATTATTCACAGCTCAGAGGAAGTTTCATCACTCCGACGACTCCGTTCATGCTGCCAACCACCGCACAGGAGGGAGCGACTTGACTCCAAAGGAAGCGGCAACACGGACCTGCGCAAGAATAAGAGGAGGAGGGGGGGGGGGGAAGGGGGGGGAGAAGGAGGAAGGAGGAGGAGCAGAAGGAGGAGTGGGGGAAAGAAAAGAGGATAGAGCAGGCAGAGAACGTGCGGGAGTGAGGCAGGAGGGGGGGAAGGGGGGAAGGAGTAAGAGAGCGAGTGAGATGAGAGGACAGCAGAGAAAGGGAGTTGGGAATGAGATTGAGTGCAGGGGGAGGAGAGGGAGGAGAGGGAAGGGGAGGATGGAGAGGAGTGAGAGGATAGACAGGAAGGGCGGGAGGAGAGGAGGGGGAGAAGAGCGGAAGGGAGGAAAGTAGAAGGGAGGAGGAGGGGTACTTGCCTGTGACTTCCGGCGAGATCCAGGAGGAGGAGGAGGAGGAGTGAGGTAGACCCCGCGCGATGAACCTGCCCCTCGTCATGTCCAACGCGCTGATCTGAAAGGAAATGAGAAGCTGTGTGTGTGAGTGGGGGCGAAGGAGGAGGAGGAGGAGGAGGAGGAGGAGGAGGAGGAAGATGATGAGGCAGAGGAGGAGGCAGAGGAGGAGGCTGAAGAGGCAAAGGAGGCAGAGGAGGAGGAGGATTGGCAGCGGTCATGAATAGGAAAGAGCAGTAGCACGAGAAGTGAGGATGGTGGTGGGAGGAGGAGGCAGAGGAGAGAATGGGGTGGGTCAAGACCGTCGCATCGCTGTAGCTACAAACAATCGCCTTGACTTCATCAACAAACAGGTCGCAGAAGCCTCCCCTGACAAGCATTTACCAGCTCCTCCCATCCTCCCCTTCAACACTCCCTTGTCTCCTCCCTCGTTATACCTTCCTCTGTTTGCTATCCCTTCCTTTCCCTTCCTATCCTTTCCCTCTCTCCCTCCACTTCCCCCCCTTCCCCTCTCCTCCTTCTCCTCTTCCCTTCCCTTCCCCTCTCTTCCCTTCTCCTCAATCCCTTACCTGTGCATCACGTCGCAAAAGTTGCAGGACTCTTGAATGATCCTACAGAGTCCAATCGCCCATCATTCTCCATTCGTTTTCCCCCCTCTTCCTCTTCTTCCCCCCTCTTCTCCTTTCCCTCCCTGTCCTTCCTCCCGCTCCTCTCCCTCCCTTTCCTCCCCCAACTTTCTGCCCCCTCCCTCCACACCTGCTCGCCTTCCAATCGAGCTCAGAGCTGAATCTCCCTTTCTTCACCTCCTCGCTGCTCCACTGCGTCTTCTCGCTCGTTGCTCTCCTTCCAATCGTCTCCCCTGCTTGCACATTCACGCACACTCCCATCCTCCTGCACACCCTCGTCATCTCCCCTCCTCCCCAGCAGCACGAGGAGGCAACCGCAGATCGAAGCACGAGAGCTCCTCCAGCGTGTCCACCGTCACCAGCATCCTCCCTGCCAGCCGCGTGAGAGGAGGAGGAGACTGACGTCCAGCTGACCGTTGGGGCTGCAGCGCAGGGTTGACAGGGCTCGGCGAGGGAAACCTATCCTCCCCCACAGCAGCTCCTCCTCCGAGGCCAGCATGGCGCGCTGACCCCATAGCCAGTGGATACCCCACTTGTCCCACACGCTCGAGCAACGGAAGATTCGCTCCTCCGGGTCGCGGGCGGACGCGCGAGAGATGCTGCAGACAAGGTTCGCCTTCCTCCTGCTTCCGTCTTCAGCCCCTCCTGCTTTGCCCCTGCCCCTGCTCCTGCTCCTGCTCCTGCCCCTGCCCCTGCTTATTCCACTGCTCCTGCTCCTGCACTTCTTCTTGCCCCAATATCTCGTCTTCGTCCTCACTCCTGCTCTCTGTCCTCACCCGTCTTGCCCTGAGCTTGCGCGAGGGTCGTAGAAGTTTACGATCCCGTCGTGCATACCCGCTATGATCTGTAAACATGTCATTAAGACGGATGATTGTGATGAGGTGATGAGATGAGACGAGACGAGACGAGATGAGATGAGATGAGATGAGATGAGAGGAGAGGAGAGGAGATGAGAGGAGAGGAGATGAGATGAAGATGAAGATGAGAGGAGAGGAGAGGAGAGGAGAGGAGAGGAGAGGAGAGGAGAGGAGATGAAGATGAGAGGAGATGAGATGAGATGAGATGAGATGAGATGAGATGAGATGAGATGAGATGAGATGAGATGAGATGAGATGAGATGAGATGAGATGAGATGAGATGAGATGAGATAAGATGAGAGGAGATGTGCTGTACCATCGGCGAGCATGTAAATGTCTCATTCTCCTTGCTGCAGCTCCAGGGGTCGACCAGGGCAATAGCAGCCACCTCAACATCATGTCATGGACGAGTTCAGGTCGACTTGTCTTCACCTTCCCTCGCCGATCCGACTGAGCGCTGAGACACAAGAGTGAGCAAAGTCTCATCAACACGTCAAGATGCCACGATCATACATAGCTCCTTATACTCCTCAACACAGCAACCTTTTCTACCGTGTTTCCTCTCGGACTTCCTGCCTGCCTGCCTGCCTGCCTGCCTGCCTGCCTGCCTGCCTGCCTGTTCCTCTTCAACATCATTCCCTGGTGTCTGACTTGTTCCAGCACAACTTCTCCTCTAACAGACTCCACAAGTCACCTGAACAAGCACATTCCCCTCTCGCAGTCCCACAGCTTCACCCTCCCGTCTGCTGCACCAGACGCTGCCAGCAGCTGGCGCAGGAGTCAGCGCAGCCTCGTTGTCAATCGCATGCGCCCAAACATGAGTTGCTTCATCCTTGCTGCTGTCAACGCACGTGATCGCTGCTCCGTGCCCTCTCATCAACATGCTCGACGCTTCCCGCACAAGTCACCGTCAACCCTCGCTCGCATCCCAGCATGGCAGTCGGTACTCACCCCCCCCCTTCTGCTTGCTCACGCTCGAGACGGACAGGCACCCGTCGTCTCCCCCTGCTCCCACCCCCCTTCAGAGCACGAGGAGCAGCTCCATCCCAACCTGCGATGACCACGGGGTGGTGCGACGAGCTCAGCGTCCTCACTTGGAACTGCGACGTGACATCCGGCACAGGAGCAGGTCAGGGCAAGCGGAGGAGGGCACGAGGTGGTGGCAACCTGCCTGATGGACGACTTGTGGGGTCGGAGGATGATAGCATCGGCGCTGTTTCCCATGTCCTCTGGAGCAGCGAGGTATCACAAGCAGCAGCGACACAACAACATGGTCATGTCTGCTCCTCAACGTGACTTTCTCCTCGCATCCCACACATCACGTGACCGTCTTCCCTCCCTCCCATACGGCCTGTCGAGACCTCCGATCCCTCACCTGCTCTCTTCACCCCGTTGGTCCCTGCCTTCCACGCCATAAGCTTGCCGTTATTGAGAGCAGCGACTGCAGCGACTGTCAGCCCTCCAGGAGGAGAGCACTGAAGCAGGTGGCACCGAGACTCTTTCCGTCCGAGGACGACTGCACGTTCACCATCTTCCCATCGTAGCTGCGATGATCCCTCACAGCCAGCTCCTTGATCCCCGTGAACGGGTCCACCAGGTCGCCGCTCCCTCCACCTTCTGCCGCCCCCCCCATCCCTCCCGTCAGTTCACTCGGCGGGGCCCGCTCGTCTCTCTCCTCGCCCTCACCTCTCCAGGAGAATTCTCGCAGCGGGAGGACGTGGATCGACTTGCTCAGACCCACGGCCAGCAGGAGGTCGTCGTCTCCTCCCCGCAGGTAGGCAAGGCCTGGCAGGCATCCAGCATGTCAACAACCCAGAGATCGCGCTCATGTGAACATGTCACCGACATCATCGCAACAGCCCCTCTCTACACGCGTCACATCCTCGTTCTATCTCACCTGTGACTGCCGAAGTCGACGCCTGATCGCCCAATCTCGACAAGCTCGCCACCACACCCTTGGTTCACACCTCAGTCACCTCAAATGCACCCATGCCTGTCAAGCAGCGCAGTGGGCCGCCGCACCTTAGAGCTCGTCTCCCTCATATACCACAGCAGCTCGCTCCTCCACATGTCCCTTCCACGCTCGTCACGATCTTCCAGCTACCAGCACGCGCATCACCGGAACACGTTCTTGATGTTGGCAGCAGCAGAAGCAGCAGCAGCAGCAGTGTCCCGTCCACCCTTGAGAGGTAGGCAGTGAGCTGCATAGTCCGACCCGTCGTCAGAGTTCGATGCCCCTGCCATTACTGCCTGGCCTTCCCATCCCTTCCTCCTCATGTTCTCCAGCCAAATCTGACCAACCTCGTCACTCCCTCTCGAGTCCTCCCCGAGCCCAGGGACCGACCTCAGCCGAGTCGACGGCGAAGGAGAAGAGCTTGCAGACCAGCGAGACTTCAGCAACGTAAGAGCAGCATAACGGTAGACGACCAGTTAACCTTTGAGCAGGTGGCTCCTGTCGATCTTCGATATTACCTTAGTCAACAGGTCTGTCGGGAGAATGCTGCTGATGTTGTTGACAGCGCTCGAGCACGCAACAATCTCAGACTGAGGCCTCGAGGCCACCCTAGAGCAAGCATCCTGCCCCGCCCTTGATGCGTCCTCCTCGTCTATCAAACACCGGATCGCCTCGATCAGGGTGATGACGTTGTCTGAATCAATGCCGTCGGACTTTCTCTCGAACTCAACAGTCTTGCTCTTGGTGCTGCGATCAGGTCAGGTCACACCACCTGAGGTTGAGGGTTCACCATGAGAAGCAAGCGTTGCGTGCAGTGACACATGCTTGTATCTTCATCATGAGTTGCTCGCTGTATCCACCGTCCTCCTCTCCTGGCTCCTCCATGCACACCACCGGCCTGATCTCAGGGTATCCCCGCGGTATGTGAACTCGGAGCTGTCAAGCAAGGTGAATAGCTTGAAAGACGCCATGAACGCAATCACCCTCGTCATGTTGAACTTGAGCTCTACAACGGCGATGAAGCCCTCTGTCAGGCTGAAGACAACAGGTCTTAGTCATTCTCGAGCAAGGCAGAATCTCATTCGCTCATGGACCTGCAGGGTCTGACGATGTTCTCGATGGATTCTTCGTACATGGCCGAGATGGCAGCCAGCTCATCCTCTCCTTCTCCGTCCTCACCATCCATGAGGGAAGACAGAGAGAGCGAGAGAGGAATGCTAAACCCTTCTCAGCGAAGAGGAGGTCTGAGAGTAGTGACGATGCTGACAGGAGGAGGAGGATAGACTGATGAGGAGGATAGGAAGAGGAGGACAGGAAGAGGAGGATAGGAAGAGGAGGATAGGAAGAGGAGGGGGAGGGGGAGGAGGGAGGGGAAGGAGGAGGGAGGAGGAGGAGGAGGAGGAAAGAGGGAGGAGGAGGA